CCACTACCACCCTCACCACCACTACCACCCTCACCACCACTACCACCCTCACCCACCACTACCACCCTCACCACCACTACCACCCTCACCCACCACTACCACCCTCACCACCACTACCACCCTCACCACCACTACCACCCTCACCACCACTACCACCCTCACCACCACTACCACCCTCACCACCACTACCACCCTCACCCACCACTACCACCCTCACCACCACTACCATCCTCATCACCACTACCATCCTCATCACCACTACCACCCTCACCACCACTACCACCCTCATCACCACTACCACCCTCATCACCACTACCATCCTCACCCACCACTACCACCCTCACCACCACTACCACCCTCACCACCACTACCATCCTCACCACCACTACCATCCAGGGGAAGACAGCATGAAAGTTCAAGACAATCTGGACACATTGAAGGAATGGTGGTAGTGTCTTGTGCAGAGTGCATAGTCAGTATGCCTATGCACTCTGCACCAGACCCTGATTCTTGGAACTCTACGTTCATCAATAACTCTAAAAAACCACTATCGCAGGCCCTTCATATTCTATGAAGACAAAGCCTAGATACTGGCGTTATCCCTGACATACTAAAAGCAGCAATGATAGCGCCACTCTATAAAGGAGGAAATAAGGCAGAAGCAAAAAAGTAGAGACCGATAGCATTAAAATCACACAACATAAAAGTCTGTGAGAGAGTGCTAAGAAGTAAGATCACAAAATTCATGGAATCACCGTTTCTTCATAGCCCTGGACAACATGGGTTCAGAACAGGGCGCTGTAGCCTGCCACAGTTGCTGGACCACTATGACATGGCACTAGATGCCATGGATGACAAACAAAACTCTAATGTAATTTACACTGATTTCACAAAAGCCTTCAACAAATGTGACCATGGTGATATATATTTATTTATTTATAAACAAGAAGCTACATTGTGGGATTAAGAGAGTACATAGTAATGGTGTTGATTTTACATTCTTGTAAAGCCACCAGCACGCATAGCATTTCGGGCAAGTCCTTAATTTAACAGATAATTTTAAGTAGATAATTTACAGTAAAATTGAAAAAAAAATTACAGGTACATTGTAAGAAATATTGACACAATAAACAAAGATTAGATTAGTACACAATAATAACAATACACTATAATGAACAAGGATTACTAGGAATATTAGGGTTAAATTTCAGGGTTATCAATTGGTTCATTGTAGCACAATTTGAGGATCATTTCAAGGAATAATGTAGAAGATGCACTCAATATAACAACTATGATATCAGATGATATCAAAGATTGCAATGGTAAAGTAATATGGCTTAGATACAAATATTAAGGGATAGGGTAGCACTAGGTACAATGCGAGTTAAAGCACTAGGTAGGAAACTATGAAGATGAAATTAGGTACTTTTTGGTTTTATTTTTTAATAAGGCAAAAATTGGACAGCTTTTCCATTCATTAGGGAGTGAGTTCCATAGACTAGGTCCCTTCCATAGACTAGGAAGGGGCCTCGTAGCCTGGTGGATAGCGCACAGGACTCGTAATTCTGTGGCGCGGGTTCGATTCCCGCACGAGGCAGAAACAAATGGGCAAAGTTTCTTTCACCCTGAATGCCCCTGTTACCTAGCAGTAAATAGGTACCTGGGAGTTAGTCAGCTGTCACGGGCTGCTTCCTGGGGGTGGAGGCCTGGTCGAGGACCGGGTCGCGGGGACACTAAAGCCCCGAAATCATCTCAAGATAACTCAAGATAACCTTTATTTGCATAGAGTGTTTATTTACACAGATTAAGTTTGGCTCTGGGGATATCAAAGAAAGATTTATGTCTGATGTGGTGAGTATGTGTTCTATTACATCTGTCCAGGAAGAGTTTCAGAACAGGGTTGTTGTTGTTGTTGTGTTGATTTAGGGGCGACGACGATCGTGGGATCGGATGCGCCCCGGCTGCCCGATACCGGAAATAGTGGAGGGATGGGGTCCCTATAGTCTCTTCAGGCCATAGACCCTACAATCTCCTCAAGCCACATATTTTACAGTCTCTTCAGGCCACTGACATGACGGATGAAGCGGAAGGTATGGCGAAGGATGTCATGACGGACGTCTTCGTCTCTCGCACCTGCCCCGTCAAGGAGAACGGGAACTGTGAGGTGGGGAATATTCACCCTACGAACAGCACTCTGTAGTCTGACGCGAGCGCTATGAAATCGAGCGCAGTGAAGAAGGTGTTCCACTGTATCCTCCTGGGTCGGACACCACTGGCAATATGGGGAATCTACCAGCCGTAGACGATGGAGATGTGCAGCCAGGCAGGTGTGCCCAATCCGGATACGAGTGATGGGAGTGTCGAGAAGTCGAGAATGATGACGAGTCCATGAACGCTGGGAGGAGTCCTCCCGGAGACCAGCCAGAGAGGAGGATCTCAGTGCTGGCTCCATCATTGCCTCCCAACTCACAAGGCAAACTGCCCAGAGTTGCGGGAGAATTTCGGAAAGGTCTAGAGGCACATTTGCAGAATCATGAAGAGCATGCGCCATCCCTGCTGCTGCGTCGGTCACCTCATTGCCATTAATACCGACATGTGACAGAATCCATTGGAGATCGACCAACCCGGAGTACCAGAGTATGACAGCAGTTCTCCACGGATCTGTGACACAGTATGACGATGGACTCGTGGACGCCGAGATATCAGATGTAGATTGTTACTTTGAATCTATTCTCATAATAGGAAAGTTTTGTTTTTCTTATTATACTGGTAAGCACTGACGAGTACCTCTTAACTACTTCGTTTGCAACTAGGCCAATCCTAAGTTTTTTTTTCATATTCATGTTTCTTGTCGATGCACACAAAATACGTTCAAAAGGAATTACTGGAAAAATAGGCAGATGGATCTACAATTTCCTGACTAGCAGAACCCAATGTGTAATAGTCAATAAAATAAAATCCGGTCCATCAACCGTGAAGAGCTCAGTCCCCCAGGGTACTCAAGTACTTTTTTTCATCCTCATATCGGACATAGACAAGTACACAACCTATAGTACTGTGTCTTCCTTTGTTGATGACACTAGGATTTTTATGAGAGTAGACAACATAGAGGACACGGCAAACCCCCAATCAGTTGTAAATCAGGTCTTTCTATGGGCTACAGAAAATAACATGGTGTTTAACATTGTAAATATTGCAAATCAAATGCAATATAATTCATAGATAACTGGGAACACTTCTAGGGAAGAAATGACATGTATGCTCGGGATGGGGTGCATCTATCTAGGGCTGGGGTGGTTGTTGTCGCGAACTCATTGGAACCTGTGGTTGGAGGCGTTTGTTTGGGTTTACATTGTTAGTAGACAGTAGTATGGGAATTGATATGGAGAAAGGAGGTAACAAAAGTATGTGTTTATGTGAGAAACAAATTGGCAAAATGAACAGGGACAGGCAAGGGCCTCAAAATAACAAGACACATAGGGTACATTATTTGAACAGTAGGAGTCTAAGAAACAAAATAAACGATTTAAATGCTCTTGTCTGCACTTGTGCAATAGTGCAATATTATTGCACTTACCGAAATATTGCACTTACCGTTTATTGCACTTACCGTTTCGGTAAGTGCAATATTATTGCACTTACCGAAACGTGGATGAATGTAGAAAATAGTGAACTATTAGCTGAATATCAAATAAATGGATTTAAACTATTTCACACAGATATAGTAGACGAGGAGGGGGAGTAGCCATATATGTTAGGGAAAATTTGTAATGTAGTCTCAAAGAGGGAATCAAAACTGAGCCACACACAGAAACTATTTGGATAGAATTAAACGAAAAAGCTAGAAATCTTATAATAGGAGTTAAATACAGGCCACCAAACTTAGATAGAATGGAAGCAAACCATCTATGGGATGAAATATGTAGGGCCTCTAGGTCAAACAGTATTTGTGTCATGGGTGACTTTAATTTTAGTGGAATAAACTGATTTAATAGAACAGGGAATAATGAAGCAGAAGATTTTCTAGAATTAATTGATGATGGCTTTATTAAGCAACATATTAAGGAACCAACGCAGAAAATAATATTTTAGAATTAGTATTAACTAACAGGGAAACACAAACTAATGACATCGAAATACGGAGTGAGCTAGGGAACAGTTATCACAAAGAAATCAGATTTAGAATAGAATGGAATAGATTTGTAGGGGGAAAATTAAGTTAAATTGCTAGATTTTCGAAAAGTTGATTGTAATAGCCTAAGAATTTTTTTTGGGTGAAATAGATTGGAAACACTTGGGCATGGGGGATGGGGGTGGACCGGTCTTAGAGCGAGACGTGAACCCTGTGATGGGTGATGTAAAAGGGGATTTCGATGTGGATTCAAAATATAACTTATTTAAAAATATTCTAAGGAAAGCACAGGAACGTAGAAAACCATACAAATTGAATAGATCAAATAATAATGACTCAAAATGGATAACAAAGAATCTGAAGAACCTTATAGGTAAAAAGAGAGCGCGGTACAAAAGGATTAAGAAAGGGGAAGTCAGTTAAGAACAAGAATTCGTACACCTGGTTAGAAATGTTAAAAAAGAGACAAAGAGAGCAGAAAGAAACTATGAAGTTCACATAGCAAGCAAAGACAAATCCTAAAGGACTTTTTCAGTTATATCGAACAAAGATTAGGGAAAGGATAGGCCCATTAAAAACTGAAATAGGTCAGATAACTGATAACGAAGAAGAGATGAGTGGTATTTTTAATAAATATCTTATCTCTGTATTAACTAAAGAGGAACTTAACATTAATTCTTCAGCCGAACAAGTCTATGTGGGTGGGAGCGAGGACATGTTGACTAGCTTAGCAATTACCAAGGAGGATGTTATTAAACAAATAGTGAAACTCAAGCCAAACAAATCCCCAGGACCAGACGAAGTGTTTACCAGAGTGCTTAAGGAAGGCAAAGAGGAGCTCTGTGCAAATTTTACTACAATTATTGATCTAACACTTCCGGCTATATTCATGCCTGTATGAAGGTGTGTGACAGAGGAAGACATTGAGTTTACCAGAGCTGAAGTAACGAAACAATTGCTGGAGTTGGAGACGACCAAGGCTGAGGTCTCCAGACGGGTACTGAGAGCCTGGGCTGATGTCTCCAGGCGGGTACTGGGAGCCTGGGCTGAGGTCTCCAGGCGGGTACTGGGAGCCCGGGCTGAGGTCTCCAGGCGGGTACTGAGAGCCTGGGCTGAGGTCTCCAGGCAGGTACTGGGAGCCTGGACTGAGGTCTGTGATGCCCACTCGTGAAGAATTATATTATCACTGGAGACCAGACACCTGGAGAACAGCCAAGACTGTGTGTACACGACGGACCTAGTTGATACGGTCCACTACAGTCCATCATGTCTTATATGCCAGGTGTCTGCTGGTGTGACGAGCACCCCAACACACCTGTCTGCTGGTGTGAGGAGGACCCCAGCACACCTGTCTGCTGGTGTGAGGAGCACCCCAACACACCTGTCTGCTGGTGTAAGGAGGACCCCAACACACCTGACTGCTGGTGTAAGGAGGACCCCAACACACCTGACTGCTGGTGTAAGGAGGACCCCAACACACCTGACTGCTGGTGTAAGGAGGACCCCAACACACCTGACTGCTGGTGTAAGGAGGACCCCAACACACCTGACTGCTGGTGTAAGGAGGACCCCAACACACCTGACTGCTGGTGTAAGGAGGACCCCAACACACCTGACTGCTGGTGTAAGGAGGACCCCAACACACCTGACTGCTGGTGTGAGGAAGACCCCAACACACCTGACTGCTGGTGTGAGGAGCACCCCAACACACCTGTCTGCTGGTGTGAGGAAGACCCCAACACACCTGACTGCTGGTGTGAGGAAGACCCCAACACACCTGACTGCTGGTGTGAGGAAGACCCCAACACACCTGACTGCTGGTGTGAGGAAGACCCCAACACACCTGACTGCTGGTGTGAGGAGCACCCCAACACACCTGACTGCTGGTGTGAGGAAGACCCCAACACACCTGACTGCTGGTGTGAGGAAGACCCCAACACACCTGACTGCTGGTGTGAGGAGCACCCCAACACACCTGACTGCTGGTGTGAGGAAGACCCCAACACACCTGACTGCTGGTGTGAGGAGGACCCCAACACACCTGACTGCTGGTGTGAGAAGGACCCAACACACCTGTCTGCTGGTGTGAGGAAGACCCCAACACACCTGACTGCTGGTGTGAGGAAGACCCCAACACACCTGACTGCTGGTGTGAGGAAGACCCCAACACACCTGACTGCTGGTGTGAGAAGGACCCAACATACCTGACTGCTGGTGTGAGGAAGACCCCAACACACCTGACTGCTGGTGTGAGGAAGACCCCAACACACCTGACTGCTGGTGTGAGGAGCACCCCAACACACCTGACTGCTGGTGTGAGGAAGACCCCAACACACCTGACTGCTGGTGTGAGGAAGACCCCAACACACCTGACTGCTGGTGTGAGGAAGACCCCAACACACCTGACTGCTGGTGTGAGGAAGACCCCAACACACCTGGAGAGGCATCATGACCAGGGGGTCCTCGCCGCCTGCTCCTGCCTCACCAACACGCCCAAGGATATCACACAGGACGGAGAACTTTGTGTATATTGCATTTGTTGCATTGTGATTATTCCTTTGACACAGTGGCCAGGTGTGGTTAGTGGTGGAGGTGGAGGAGAGGCTTGAGGCACGAGTAGTGACCAGCACCACCTCACATGGGTCAACAATGCGTCCCATCCTCTTCCTGACTATAGTCAATGGTCTCTCTCAGGAAAGAGATTAATGTTTGTTGATGCCAAAATAGGCGGGAAATGATCAAGACTGGAAGTAGCTAGAGCAGCGTCTTGACACACTACAAGCAGGAGCTAGATTTAGTACCAACACAAACACAGTAATAGTGCTCGGCTCTTTGTGGGACATAACGTACCAAACGGGACGGAAAATCCTTTTGAGACAGAACCTTACCTTGAGGATACCTTGAGGTGCTTCCGGGGCTTAGCGTCCCCGCGGCCCGGTCGTCGACCAGGCCTCCTCCGACCAGAACAAAGTCAATTGAGACGAATATTTCTCCGGAAGTACATATTGACCGGGACATGTTGTTGTTGTTGTTGTTTAAGATTCGCTACCTGAAACAAAGTTCCAAGTAGCACGGGCTATGGTGAGCCCGAACCGGGACAAATGAGCCACATGTGCATGGACAGCTAACCGCTACAAACTGCCGGTACAGACCTGGACAAGTAGTCATTCTGTACACCACATTGATCACAAGCCTCCTGGAATGAACGCCTCCAAAACAACATTGATCACAAGCCTCCTGGAATGAACGCCTCCAAAACAACATTGATCACAAGCCTCCTGGAATGAACGCCTCCAAAACAACATTGATCACAAGCCTCCTGGAATGAACGCCTCCAAAACAAAACTGAAGAAAATCCTGAAGAGGTGTGCAGCCACACTGGTCCCGGAGCTGAGAGCTATGAGTTGTGAGGCAAAAAAAAATATTATGAGGATCTCGACGCAAAATTCTCGGGGGGGGGTATAGGGGGGGGGTATGTACCACAGTGAACCACAACATTGTTAGAAAGAACTTCTTAATTGCCAGGTAAGGTAATTATCAAGAGAAAGCTCTGTCACAATAACTATATACCACATGCAATGGATGAGGACAGGATAGGAGCCGGGATTTGAGGACAGGATAGGAGCCGGGATGTGAGGACAGGATAGGAGCCGGGATGTGAGGACAGGATAGGAGCCGGGATGTGAGGACAGGATAGGAGCCGGGATGTGAGGACAGGATAGGAGCCGGGATGTGAGGACAGGATAGGAGCCGGGATGTGAGGACAGGATAGGAGCCGGGATGTGAGGACAGGATAGGAGCCGGGATGAGAGGACAGGATAGGAGCCGGGATGTGAGGACAGGATAGGAGCCGGGATGTGAGGACAGGATAGGAACCGGGATGTGAGGACAGGATAGGAGCCGGGATGAGAGGACAGGATAGGAGCTGGGATGTGAGGACAGGATAGGAGCCGGGATGAGAGGACAGGATAGGAGCCGGGATGTGAGGACAGGATAGGAGCCGGGATGTGAGGACAGGATAGGAGCCGGGATGAGAGGACAGGATAGGAGCCGGGATGTGAGGACAGGATAGGAGCCGGGATGTGAGGACAGGATAGGAGCCGGGATGAGAGGACAGGGAAGGAGAGGTGCCTAACTACCTGGCCTCAGTAGTGATGAGCGGTTATGAACTAGAGGGAGAAGCGATGAAGACTTCACAGACATATTCAAGTGTAAATATAAAATAAAGGGTTCAGAAACATGCACAACACACTATTCAACGATGAAAGGCAGGACCCAGGAGCTAGGCGAGCCCAGACAAGCACAACTAAGTGTGTACGTAGACAAAGGCACTTGGGGCAGCAACAGCAGTAGAGTCATTCATCTTGAGCAAGTTATAAAGGAGCGCCCCATTAGGCAGTTCAACCAGCAAACTACGCTGCACCTTCAATTACCCGCCCAGAGTAGTACTAGTCTTAATCAAAGTGATGGACGGCGCCTCCTCCATACTTACCACCGGCAAGTATTACAGCAGGACCGGATTGTCCAGGTCCCCCCCCCCCCCCTCTCCCTCTCCCTCTCTCTCTCTCTCTCTCTCTCTCTCTCTCTCTCTCTCTCTCTCTCTCTCTCTCTCTCTCTCTCTCTCTCTCTTTCTCTCTCAATTTGTTTTAAACTTAGGAAGCGTTGACATGACTACTTAACATGGGAGTTCACTCTAACTGTCAGCCGCCATCTCTGTCATATCCGATAACATTGGTTGAATATGTGCCTTACTAAATATGTGACAACATCACACAATTAAAACAGAGAACCGTTACTGAAAACTAACGCTTTTCAGTTTTAAAGCTAGCGTTGAATATATATGTATACAACAACCTGTCCTCTTAAAAATAACGTCACTTTTGGCCGTTTGCCCGTATGGCCAAAAGTGGACGTAATTTGAAAATGAACCAAAAAATGGAAATAAATTTGAGTTATTTTTTTTTTTTAACAACAGTTTGTTTTTCTCTGATAGGTTAGGTGGGCAGGAAATTCTCATAAAGTTTCAAAACGTTAATTGACAGTTTCCTCTCCTAACCTTTCCGCGTAAGCCGGACGACTCAAACAGAAAACGGGCCAGTAAGTCACTTTCGTGAGCCGATTTCATTTCAAATTACGTCCACTTTTGGCCATAGCGCGCATACGAGCCAAAAGCGACGTTATTTTTAAGAGGACGGGTTGATACCTATATAAATTTTTAAATTTAAATTTTGCCCCAAGGGGCAAGTTTATTGGGCAGCGCCACTCATCTTGTGAGTGGACATACCGCCAGAGCAGCATGTACAACACTCCCCAATAGGAAGAAAACCCGCTGGGTTGTTCATCCTGTCACTTGTACCCAGACACAGCTGGGACTTGCTTAACTGTCTCAAGTGAACAGCTCCTCAAACAACAAGATTAACATCTGTCAACCCTTAAAAGCTTACGTTATCTTGCGGGTGCAAAATGGGGGAATCTTTTAAGAACAGTATCAATATTTGACAAATAGTGTTTTCCTAACTCAAACAATGTGGGGTTTATTATTCTACACATAACTTTGATTTCTCTCAGGTGTTCACATTCACGTAGATAGTGGTCAAGGCGGTGTCCATCACTCTCACCACAGATTCTGCAACTTCGCTGATCAACTGTTGTTTCCATTCCATATCTCCATGGATATTTGTATCCAAGACGGATTCTCGCTATTACTGATTCTCTCCCTCGTCGTCCTCCTCTTCGGCCATAATGATTGGGATTGCCAGCTGCAACCATGTTGTACAATCATACAGATTCACTGGTTTGTGCTTCTATCCTCCTTTCCTCAGTTACCTTGTCACAGTAATGTTGCCTGATAATACCTCTAATTTGTAGTAGAGTCTTGGGTATGAAATATTCAATATGGTCTCCTTCAGCGCCTTCAGCAGCCAGCACATCTGCTCGTTCATTCCCACATATTCCAACATGAGAGGGGATCCACAGAAACTTGATGATTCTTCCCTGATTGGTAAGTACTCTAACAGCTCTCTTAATTTCAGCGACTATTGCAAGATTATCTGCCCGATTTTTACTTAGGCTTTGCAGTGCTGCTTTTGAATCAGTGCAAATCACTGCACCATTAGTGTTCCGTTCAAGAAACCTTAACGCCATAACAATGG